TCTATTTTCATTATGTGTTCTGGACATTTAATGAACCCTCAATCTTGAAATTCACATCCTTCACATCTGGAAAAAGTATAGTTTAATGATTATTACTTTAATGATCCCTTCCTCTCTATTTTCTCCAACTTTTCAAATGTTGGATCCCCTGGACTAGATCTCTCATTTTTTGATACTTTCTTTCACATTTTTCGGATTTGTACTTTATGTTCTATTTCCTCATAAATTTTTTTCAATTTTATCTTCCATCCTTTTTTATTGCTGTTGTTTTTAATTTTGTCATATTTTTAATTTCTAAAGCTGCTTTCTGTTCATTATGTTCTCTTTCTTAAAAGTAACATATCATTCTTGTTTTATAGATGTACTATTTTCTTTGACCTCTTTGAGAATATTAAGGATAATTTCTTTTGAAGTTTTCTTTGTTATCTTTCTCTGTCTCATTAATGCAAGCGACGTTGCTTCCTCCAAGTTACTTATTTGTCAATCAGGGTCATCACTGTAGATTTGCCTGGATTCTTTAGATCTGTTCTGGAGTGATCAGGTTTTCCACAAAAGATGCTTATAATTTTCTACCCTGAGGCATGGGTCTGAGACTTGTGATTTTGAAGCGCCACAGGCCGGGCCCTGTCTCTCACGCTCTTCCCTATCCCCTCCCATCTGCCCAGCCCCTGCCGTATTCTGGGACATGACTGCCTGGCTGGCAGAGGAAGGAGCAGTGGAGGCAGGCAGGCTGTAAGGCTGTGAGAGACCAACAGGCCAGGATTACTAGCAAGCATACATGTCCTCCAGGCTGGGGGATAAAGCCACGGAGGGCCACAGGGAGAGTGAGGAATGCTGTGGGTCATGGGAGGCGCCCCGGGCTCTCAGCAAATGTCCTGGGTCTCAGCAAACGCCTTTTCCTTCTTAAAGTGACTTTTTAAATTTGATTCTGATTCTGGCAGATGAGAAGAGAGGGAAAAGGAAAAAGATATAGACATAGACATATCTCTATATCTTTTTTGTTTTAAAGCTTTGCAGGCGACTCTGCCGTGCAGCCAAGTGTGAAGACCTCTTAGATGATTACTGAAGTTTCTTATATCCTTAAATATCCCAAGAACTGAGACTGTCCAGTACATGTGGCAAATCCTCAAGGAACCAAGGGTTTCAATCCCTACAGGGAAAGAGATACCCATATATCAATACGTTTTTCTGCCTTTCAGTTATTCAAAAAGGTATAAGAAGAGGTAAATCACATCATGCTCTTTTAGAGGCAACAATGTAGTAGGACATCAATCTGTGACCATGTTAAACAACTTCTGATTGGGAATTTTTCCTGCTCTATGTGACTAATGTCTAGACTAGCTGTGGGTGTCACACCTAATTTCTGGGACGTTATTTCTATGCTGACTGCACATCTCATTCACCATTAGGTTTCTCACCACACCCTAGAATTCTTGTAATAGTAAACCTTGTTTACTGCCACAGTACACCCTGGACTTGGAATAGGTAGCAAACACTAAGTATTTGAAGTATGATTAACAACCGCGGGGTAAAAGAAAAGCTTGTGAAACTTGGATAAGAACTGCTGAAACACCATTTCAAAGAGTGCAGCCTAGTTACCGAAAAACAGCAACCTAGAGATCGATCTCCCTATGATCATTAGGAGACAAAGGAAAAATGAAACGTAATGGAAGAAGCAAAACTTACAGTAAACATGCTACAAAAATCATCAATGACACTGGCCTAAGGACAGTGAACATGGCAATGCTTTGTGAAATGAGCTTTCCTTCTTTGTTTCACCAACAAAATTTTCCAGCAACACTTGCCCATAACTGATGACACATGGAGGGTTGGTGAGAAAACCAAAAAAGGATAAAAAAAATCCAGTGATGGGGGCCGGCCCGGTGGCAAAGTGGTTAAGTTCGCACGTTCTGCTTCTCGGCGGCCTGGGGTTGGCTGGTTTGGATCCCGGGTGCGGATATGGCACCGCCTGGCAAAAGCCATACTGCGGTAGGCGTCCCACGTATAAAGTAGAGGAAGATGGGCATGGATGTTAGCTCAGGGCCAGTCTTCCTCAGCAAAAAGAGGAGGACTGGCAGCAGATGTTAGCTCAGCGCTAATCTTCCCCCCCCCCCCCCAAAAAAATCCAGTGATGCCATAGTTCTTTGAAAAGGTTCAGCCAGCTCTTTAATCTAAATCCTGTCAGTGAATTTGAAAGTCAGGAAGTCAAAGTTAGCTCAGAGTAGCTGCTGATTTCCACTGAGGCTGGCAGGCCCCTGTGCTCCCCAGAGCCAAAGGTCTCACTGGCTGGGCTCCACAGATTCCCAGGGTTAAAGTGAGTAAGGATGTACCGTACGATCAGCTTTGAACTCAATCAGCCCTAAGAAGAGAACATTTAATGTATAAATGAGACAATTTGAGATGTTTTAATGTGACAGCAAAAGAGTAGAATTATGCTCATGTTATAATACTAGTGTTTAAAGTTGGACCTGAATACAGGCAAGATAAATAAAACAAGTCTCTTCATCTGTTAAACTTTCTTACCCAATCTAACTACTAAAAAACTAACTATGTCAATGGATACAGGTTTTTAAGAAAAATGAACAGTCAAAAAATTTTTTAAAAATCTAAATAAAACAAAAAACCACAACAACAAAAAAGGAGACATACGAAAATATCAACAAATACTATACGTACAATATTGATTCCATTATTTATTTACAAAACCATGTTTTGTCAGAGTTCCTATAGGTTCCTACATTTTAAAATTGTACAACATAACTGACCACCATAAAAACCCTCATTATTAACGTCACAAATATAAAAAAGTACCTGTAAATTATTTTAAAAAAACCCAACCCAACAGAGAAATGGACAATATATAAGAAGAGGAAACTTATAATAGCAGAATTACAAATGGTCAAGAAACATGCAGAAAGATGCTCAAGGTCACTAGTAGTCAGGAAAACGCCAATGTCAAAGACATCCCTTTTTTTCTTGAGGAAGATTAGCCTTTAGCTAACTACTGCCAGTCCTCCTCTTTTTTTTTTTTTTTTTTTGCTGAGGAAGCTTGGCCCTGAGCTCATCCGTGCCCATCTTCCTCTACTTTATATGTGGGACGCCTACAACAGCATGGCTTTTGCCAAGTGGTGCCATGTCCACACCTGGGATCTGAACTGGTGAACCCTGGGCCGCCAAGAAGCGGAATGTGCGAACTTAACTGCTGTGCCACCAGGCCGGCCCCAGAGACATCCTATTTTTATTCATCAGAATGGCAAAAATTAAAATGACTGGTTACAGTCAATCCTAGAGAGTAGAGAAAAACAGTCCTCCTCTAATTTATGACCTTGTGAGTAAATGTTCCAGTTAAATTCATTAAAACTGAAATAATGCTCTTACTTAAAAAAGAAAACCCACTAACAAGCTATCCAAAAGAAATAGGAGTTAAAAGGTTTTATACTAATATTTACTCTAGAATCATTTATAATAGCAACATTCTGGAAACAATTCAAAGATGTATGAATAAGGAATGGTTGAAAATTATGGTTTATTCACACTATTGAATAATGTGCAGTTATCAGAAAGACTGAACTACATAGTCATATATTGACGTTAAAGGATATCCATGTTATATTGTAAGTGAAAAAAAACTTATACAATAATATATATATTATTTTCATAAAGCAAAAGAAATAAGCACACAAAACACCACATGTACATATATACTTCTACAAGCAAAGGGAACAGCACAAAAGAAAATACATTCAATGTTGTGTTGGGGAAGTGGGAGAATTCCCTCCCTTTTCCTTAAGGTTCTTACTGCTGGTCAAATAATTAAAAAGGCAGGTTAGCAAGAGAAAATCAAACAAAGTTTAATAGCATGTATTCATGGGAGAAACTCAGGAGAAACTGAGTAACTGAGCCATGGCCGAGGCTGCCTGTGTAAGTATCTTCAGCTACAGACTGTGGGTAGTGGTTTCGGACTTCAACGGGGAGGAAGGCAACTCACATGGAAATGGAAAAGCAGATGTTTGGTAAACAGAACTTGGATCCTCCCAGTCTACTGAAACCCAGAGTTCTCTATGGTGAGGGCCTGTCCTGGGGACAGGCCTTTATTTTACATTTCTTTTAGGCAGTTAGGGGGGAAAGGTAGAGTGTTCTTCTTGAGTCTTCTGAGCCTATACTGTCTTCAGCTGGAAATAATCTACACCCCAGAGTGGCACATGGGGCAGCCTGCCCTGAACCCCATCAGTTGCAAAGAGTGGTATAGATAATGAATGGGAAGAAACTGAGACAAATAATTTTACTACAAATATATGCATAGTACTCAACTGGTTCTCAGGATCACGAAATATAGTCATTTAAATAATAAAATGTGAGCACATGATTAAGCCTTCAGATATAACTTCGGTATCTTCTACCTCCCTAACATATGCCAAAAAAGTCTCCTGTTTTAAGCTTGAAATTTTGGGACAATTTCCCAAGATGGTTGTTAGGTTAAATCTTAGAAAAACTTAGTTCTTTTGACACATAGTAATCTAATTTCTAGTAAAAAAAAAAAAGCAAGCAGTAGGAAGAACCATTTTTACCTGCTTGTACAAATAAACGAAAAATATGTCCTGTGAACTCACCGTAAGACTGTTTTAGATCATAATAATCCCTTATATTGAAAGCAGTTAGCAGTGCAGGGTGGGTCCCAAGCTAGAGCCACCTGAGACTCGCCTCTTCTGAAAACACTGTCACAAAAGGATGCTAGAGGATCTCACTCACTACTGGCAAACGATTCTCCATGAAGAAAAGAAGAGAACGAGATCTAAGTAATAATATTCCAGTGAAAATATTTAATGTTAAAACATAGTTTCCAACCACTAAGTGATGTAATTAATGACTATGGTTCACTTCAATATTACTTTTCTTCATACAAAAATTTTTTAAAAACGTTACTGTAGATAGATTAGACTTTGACTCAAAAAATGCACATGAAGAATGCTAACCTTTGGTTTAAAAAGATCTTTTCCTACCTTCACGTTATCTGGATGCAGTCCCCCAGGGTGCTTGTCCATGTACTGACATAAATCAGTGTGCTGGAAGAAAAAGGGGAAAATGTATTAACATCCCTCTGGCTAAAACACCATGAATCAATATTTTTCTACTTCAAAGTCACTGTTACCTTCCGAACAAAGCAAATATAAGTGGGTGGGGTTTTTAGTGTATGCAGTTGTATGCTCCTCCACCCCCCATTTTTAACCACAATTGAACCATTATCTTTACCTCTAGGTTCTGTACTATGTTCAACATATCTATGTATTAGAACGAATTTGCATGCATACTTTGTTAAATGCCTAAAATTTCCTCCTCATTGAATATAAATCTCTCAACCGAAAAAGAAAAAACCTTAACTAAAAAGATATAACTTAACTTAAAAAAGCTCACAGATGCAATTAACCAATCCAATTACAATTTCAATTATCTCATATTGTCCAAGTGCAAATGCGGGTTATGATTAATGTGAGGTGAAAATACTACATACAGATCATTCTAGTAAAATTAATCACTGGATTAATTTAAATTTTTCATAACTATATTCATTAAAAAATAATTTTCAGGTTTCCAGAACTCCTCAATATATTTGACAAAATATACTTTATAAATTACTACAAATACTTTCAAAATTATAAATTAAGACAAATACATCCACATATAACTTAAAAGGAATATCCTTAGATAACAACTTATGATGTCATTCTTTCAAATATTCCACTCAACTTGCCTACAAATGTATATTTTCTTCTTAATGCTTTTTCTGTTTGTATTATGAACTACATAGAATTTTGAAAAAACATGTAGAGTTGCAATTCGAATTTTTCTTCTCTTACTGAGGGATACTGTAAGATTTGTAACACTGAAACATTTAATCATTCTGTAAAAGCCATTGAACATTAGTAGTTGTGCCCCACTGTCAAACTTCAATTACTGAGGAATTATAAGTTTTATGACACATTCAAGAATCTTGCTGTAGCCATGGTGACAACAGTTCAGATTCCTTTACTGAATTTTATTGCATGCCAGGTAGTAACTGCTGAGGATACAGAGCAGAATTTAGCATTCGCTCATTACTCATCATGTATTTCTTGAGCCCTTATTGTTTTCCAGGCACTACACTAGTCACCAAGGACACAAAATTAAATGAAAAAGATGCACATGGAAAAAACCAGACATGTCAGTAATTACAGTAGAGTATGTTGTGTCCTCTTTTAGCAGCATCAGGAAATGTTTGAGGGCATAGCAGGTGGAAACTATTGTGGTCTAGAGATTGCAGAAAGGCTTCTGGAAGAAGTTACTTCTATGTAAGACATGAGTAGAGAATGAAAGAAGTTAGCCAATTAAAGGGGACAATGAGAAAGAAAATGGGACAGAAGAAATGCTGGTGGAAACAGTTTTACATACAGTATAGCTCACTAAAAATAACCCTAAAATATAATTATAACAGGTTCCATGGAGTTTTTCCTGACTACATAAAAGTTTTATTTCATGCATTTAACAAACTAAGGAATGAATTCTGGACCTCAAACTGCCATTTTGTAACTCCATATTATTAACTTCTCTGTCCTTTGAAAAGGATAACACGTCCCTTGGAGAAGATTTCTGAAGAACATATAAAATAGTAGACTCACGCATCACTTGACAGGGATATGTTCTGAGAAATGCATCATTAAGTGATTTCATTGTGCAAACATCACAGATTGTGCTTATGCAAACCTAGATAGTATAACCTACTACATACCTACGCTCTATGGTACTAATTTTATGGGACCACCGTCACATATGCAGTCCTCATTGATCAACATGTTGTGAATGTACATTAGAAAGTACTTTTTACCTATAAAATGGTAACAAAAATAAGGTATTATTTAGGATACTGCCCATTGTACAGTAAGATCCACGAGGGGAAGAACCGTATCTAATTTGCTCATTGCTTTACACACAACAAATAAAATGTTAAATAGAAAGTACATCCAATCATATCAATAATTATATATCTACATGTTAAAATTCTTATCAAAAATGTCAATTCTCAGTTTAAAAAATAAAGCAAATAAATTCACACTGTTATCAAGATACAAACTAGATACAATTAGACAAAAAAATCTAAAAATAAATAATATATTTTATATTATTCATATTTTATGTAATTTATCCTGGTAAATAGCAATAAAAAGGAATCAGCATATGACTGTAAATATTAAATCATAGGATTCAAGGAAAATGTATTAAACATTTATGCACCTAGCAAACATGACACATCAATATAAACCAAAAATTGATAAAAATAAAAGAAATTGAAAAATTCACAAAATCTTGAAGGGTTTAGTTTCAAGGGCAATAATTGGAATATACTTGTCATTGCCTGCATTTGAGTAAACTTTTTATTTCGCTCTATTTGCAGAGCTATTACTCTGATGGCATGAGTCATCAACAAACAACTTAAGGACCATCTGAGAAAGAAAGACAGAAAGACAAGATGCAACTGTTAACTGGAAACCATTTATTGAAAGTTTCGGGTAAAATTTTATAAAAAAGTGCCAGGATTAAAACCTGCAAGTCTCTTTTATAAAATAAAAATTCTGAATGATTAGAAAGCACTCAGTCATAGATTTTTGTCTTAGGAAAAAAATGCAACGTTTCAACCAGTCAATGGGTTTTAAGTCCAACGGCAACAGGAAGAAAACAAGGAAGGAAGAAAAGGAGTCAAAGGGAGGGAATGAGAAAGGGAGAGGCAAAAAAAGAAAATTTATTTTCTTGGAAATTTAAGAAAACACTTTAAAAATCTAAAATGGTTAAATCATTTAAATGAATGATAAGATACTACATACATTTTAAAGCAATGAAAAGTGGTCAGAGCATTATTGATAGGAAAATTTAGACCTTTAAATACATTAATATTTTGTTGTTTTTTGTTTGGTGAGGAAGATTGGGCCTGAGCTAACATCTGGGCCAATCTTCCTCTATGCTGTATGTGGGATGCTGCCACAGCATGGCTTGACGAGCAGTGTGTAGGTCCGTGCCCAGGATCCAAACCTCTGAAGCCCAGGCCACGGAAGTAGAGCACGCAAACTTAACCACTACACCACCAGGGCCAGCCCCTAAATACATTAATTTTAACATAAGAATGACTAAAAAATAGATAAAACAACCAATAAACTCAAGCTAGAGAATACCAAATATCAAAGAGACCCAAAGAAAATAGAAAGGATTAATGTAGGTATAGCAGAAATTAATTACATAGAAAAATTAGAAAACAACAGGTTTGAACAACTAAATAAAAAAACCACTTCTTTGAAGAGCCCAATAAAACAAACAAACCTGTTGCAAGTCTCATTTTTTTTAAAGTTATGGGTTTTGCCAAGAAGTAATCAACATTAAGAATAAGAAAAATGACACAACCAAAATGTGCAGATTTAAAAATATACTGTGAACATATAGTACTATAAACTAAACTAAGCAGAATGTTATAAACATCTTTAAACCAATACATTTGATATATAGATAAAACGTCTTTTTTTAAAAAACATAAATTATTAAATTTGGTTCTATAAGAGATGGGAATTAAAGAGCTATACCTAAAAAAGGTACCAAGTTCAGATGGTTTTAATGGAAAATCTACCAAACTTTAGGATAACAGATATAAATTACTCCAGAGCAAAGAAAAGATAAAATGCTTCTCACTCCTTCTTTAAGGTTACAATGTCAAAGCAGGCAAAAGAGAGAGGAGGAGAGAACTAAACCAACCTCTTTATAACCATAGATGTATAAATTCTAATGACAGTAGGTACTAGAATTCAATATTATATTAAAATACTAACACACCAATACCTAACAAAGTTAAACCTAGAAATGAAAAAATAGTTCAACATAATGACATTTATTAATGTGATCCTCTAAAATGAACAAATTAAATATGTGGAATGGTGTTGGGTACAAAACTTTCACGATACTATATATTTGACATATATTTATAAAATGCTGATTTTGCATAAATAAGACAAAGTCTGTTCTCACACAGCTTACATTCTGTGGATTCCACATTCTTGTGAATTATTATAATTTTTTCCAAGAATAATGTATTCAAGCTTTTTCTTTAAAACAAAAAACCAAAACTACAAGGAAGGAAAGTTAGGATTGGGGGGAAAATATTTCCTGATCCTCAAGGTACACATGAAGTCCTTCTGAGTATACGCCCAATGACATTAACATCATGAATTGCAGGAAGAAGACTTCACCAGAAATAAGATCTTGGTAAATTTAATAAAGATTTTTCCAAATCTTTTAAATTTTAAAATTCTTAATTCTTTAGATAAATGGCATGAAAATGTGTGTGTGTGCAGATGTATCATATGTATACACACATGGTTGTGTAGCCTTGAGTACATTACATAACCTCTGTATATCAGTACCTTCATCTATGTAATGAGGATAATCTTAGAACAGCTACCTCATCAGATATTGTGAAAATTAACGTTTGCATTAATGAGTTTCCATTCCATAATAGTTGCAGAATATTGCCCAGCACATGGTAGATGTTATAGATGATGATGATGATGATGATGATGATGATGATGATGATGATTTTCTGTGTTGTGTTTAGAGCAGGGAGGGATATTTGGGAGGTCTGTAATTAAAAACAAAATGATAAATACAGTCGGAAAACTGGAACTCCTGGGGGTAACATTTCCTCCTTATGTAATGTGTTCTTCCTGTCTGCGTGTCCAGACATTCTCATTCCCACTTCACTGTTCCCTGTACACAGCCACCAAGACTACATCTAGCAAATACACCATTAACCTCAGATTGCTCTGGGTGATTGGGGCAAGAATTTGGAGAATCTCAGATGAAAGAAGAGACAAGTGGTAGGACAAGGTACCATTTTGTACCCTAGCAAATTTCTGTTCTACTTGCATTAAAAACTGTTTCTTTTCCTTTTATCTTTTTAAATACACACTATTATGCCTGGGACTGCATTAGATGTGCCTAAGTTACAAATTTCATTACATCCCTTCTTTCTTTTTACCTTCTCTCCTTAGTTCATTTCATTGGATTATGTGACCCTTATGTTTTGCTCTGGTCTAGAAATACAGAACTAAATTTAACAATAATGCTAGAATGTACTTCTTTGTTATTCCACTTTTTAAAGTCATCCTAGGTATAAAAGTTCTAAACAGAAGGTTCCTATGGCACATGACCAACAGAATACTATCCTTTGATGAGACAAAGATAATCTCAGATCCATCCGGCTTGATCTCTGGCTATTTCTTGTTATAACACTAAGAGGAGCACTTTTAGACCAGGTGCCTGGTGACTGCAGATCAAACACAATCTCTATCTTGGCTCCTGGCTAACATCTCCTCTTTCCCTCTCTACATTATGCCTCGATTCACCTTCCTACACCTTCCTCCTATTCACTCCATCACTGCTACTGCTTTTCAGGGTAATTCCTTTAGAGGCACTTGTGTCTGACAGGTTGATATCTGAACGCCTAAGAACACCTCATCAATCTTCCATAGAGTGGTGCTTTTAATGAAGCTTTCAAGTGTGGTTAGACTTACAGACCAAGCAGAAGACAGAGTGAGAGCAGAAAGGAGCTCCAAAGGCTCAATCCTTACACTAGCATATACTTCTTTCAAAATCATGTCCCCCTTCCTCACTGTTGATTACCCGTCAGGTAGCACTTATGTGGTTATTTACATAGAAGCAGGAGTGTTTCTAGGGGAAAGAATTTGAGGAACATATCTGAAATCATAACACCATGAACATAACTGTTCTCTGTGAAGGAGTTTGCCACATTTACAATTTGGGTTTCCCCATGTTGATCTGATTACTCTGTGGTGAGATCAATTTAGAAGGCATGAGAGAAATCTCCCTTTGTAAGAAGCCTGGATATGGAAAGACCACAGAAAATTGAAAAGACTTTTTACTCATCAGCACTTTCACAGAGTAGAGCCTCAGTTAATTTCAATCATATGTAGACCAGAGAACTGCATGACTAACGGCACACAGCCATGAGACTTAAAGGGAAAGACATGAAAGAAAGCTACAAAGATAAATTATGAACATAATGACAATTACAAAACAGGTCTGGATGGAGAACAGCCCATTTAAAAGAGGACCAGGAAAGAGAGGCCAGCCACAGAAAAGGAGGAGAAACAAGCTGGACTACGACATTCACCTCTTCATATTTTCCACTCTCCATATTTACTCTTTGTGAAACTAACTGTGTCAGGGAAAGAAGCAATATCCCTCCACTGAAAGCCGCTGGTAAAAAGGGTCTCTGAAGACCACAATCTCAGACAACCTGTTGGACATGAAATTTTACCCACATTCCAGGGTAGGAACATGTGTAAGTCAATTGTTATGTAGGTTTCACTGTCCGGTATGTGCTTGTTGTTTTTGTTTTGTTTTGTTTTGTTTGTTTTTTGCAGGGAAAGATTCACCCTGAGCTAACATCTGTTGCCAATCTTCCTCTCTTTTTTTTTCCTCCCCAAGCCCCAGTACATGGTTGTATAGCCTAGTTGCAAGTCATTCTAGTTCTTCTATGTGAGCCACTGCCACAGCATGGCAATTGACAGATGGGTGGCATGGTGCTGCAACCAGGAAGTGAACTCAGGCCACCAAAGCAGTGAGCACCAAACTTTGACCACTAGGCCATCAGGGCTAGCTCTGTGCTTGTTTCTTCTTAATCTGTGTATTATCCATGAAGTGAGGTTGTCCAATTGTTGGCCCTTCAGAGGATCAAACCTCCAAAAGACATCAAGCTCCTCAGAGAAATTATGCTTTTGCATTAGCACCGGCTTTCAGACTGGACTGTTCTCTTTAAGCAGGAATCCAAACAAAGCCCCTCCCCAAACCCATGCACTTGTTTCTACTTTCCTATAATGTTAAGCATGATATCATGATTTCCTATAATGTCAAGCATGAATATTTGTCAGCTAATTTTGATGTTCTTCAGAAGCACTGCCAAAACATGACACTGAAAATACTGCAGTGTTATTTTTAGCATCTAGGCTGAAAAGGAAGTCTTTCCTTGGGGATAACCAACAGAAATCCTCATTCTGAAGTTATGTTAAACATAGGCTTCACATCCTTTACTTCTGCTTCATTTAGTTTTCCATTTTGACAGTAAGAGACTCAGTATACTCAAGCTTGGTGTAATTTTTATAACATTAAAAAAACCTGCTTCACAAGAGTAAGAATACGAAAGATTCCAGAAGATAATAAAACTAATTGTGAATTTCTTAAGTTCTTAAGGGATTGCTTTATTTTATGCTTAAATATCAAGGTTCAGTTTTACTTTTATTTTGAAATTAATAAAAATTTGATATACAAAACAAAAAAATTAAATGGAAACGCGATTTAAAAAAAGATAGTTAAGAACTAGTTGATAACATGTGCAAAGTGGAAGCATAAAAATATAGACTCTTCCTTTTCTTGACTAATTTTTGATTGTTTAAGAAGCTCCCTAGTCCTTATCCCAGTTTGATTGTAGACATTCCAATCTCCTCCAGGTAAGTGACTCATTATAAAGAAACATTAAATAGCACTCCGATTGGTAAGAGATCATATGAGGAAATTGGCAAATTTCTAAAGGACAAGAGCAATTATTTCCACTCTTCAGTGGTACTGCACGTGGTCCCAAAATTAATGGCAATGATGATAACTGTTAGTGTGATCGAGGCAGCAAGTGCGGCAGATGCTTACCTGGGATGCTTACTCTACTATTGGCTAACGTCTCTCACCTTCATCACCATTGTCCCATGTCTGGGACACATCACACACATTCTAACTAAAACCACACTTTTGAACTTTGGTAGAACTATCATTTTAGTTTTTAATCTATTTCACCTGTAGCTTATTAAAGTCAGGTAATACACTGGGGAACAGCTGCTGCTAGCGGCAACTGAAGGAGACTCATAGAAGCTGGGCCCTCCTTTCTTCTACAGCAATCAACGCCGTTCTCCTCTAGCTATAATCTCTGTTTTAATCAGGCTACACTGCTGTAAGAATTAATACATCAAATTAGTGAACAGTTAGTTTCAAACTGCTTTTATAGGAAGTCCACAGGTTTAAATTGAGTTTGAAATAGCATTTTTTTCCATTAAGCTTTATAGTACTCAGCTATTTCATCCCAAATCATAATTAATGAAATTTTAATGTTGTGAATTCCAACACATGAGCCTTATTCATTAGTGAGAAAAATGAAAATGAAAAGAAACATTAATCAATTTTTCCTTGAAAACAAAGTCACAGCCATTCAAGGTGCTTTATAAAGGAAGTTTGTATCTACTATATATCAAAGAGGCTCATTTCTAAAGAGTGGTAAAAAAATAAAACTCTGTAAGTATTCTATTAAATGTCATTTAGACTTTATGCTAATGCGTTGAAATCCCTTATCTTTAATAACAAAAACAAGACATTCATGAACAAGTACAAAAGTGCTATCTCTTCCCTCTGAAGCAGAAATTCTAATTACAACTAGATTACTGTGTCTCAAGTTGCATCATAGGACATGGTATGAAAATAGAGACAATATGGTCTTTTAATCTATTCCATCATCACCCAAAGATATGTTCTCACATGGAATAATCTCAAATATTCCACTGTTCCTGCACAGACTTATTTTACATATAACAAAGACTGTTTCTGGGTTATTTTATTTTTACCTGGTCTTAAGCCACTTAGGAAATGTTGAAATTCTACCAGTATACCACACGCATATTCTCTAGGGAGGGAAGGGAGGGTAGTTAACACACACAACAGTTTATGCTACATAAAAATCCTCCCATTAGCAATCACAGTGCTGTGGTTTATTCCTAATTAAATTAGCAATTTCTCCTTTCTTTATTATTATATAATATATTCTCCTTCTCCTTTTTGGTCATAATAAACCTATATGTGACTTAGCTATCCCATAATTCTGCCTAATTGGTTTCAGCTGTCATTTCTGAATCCATAATGCATGGGCAGCCTGGGGCTGGCAAGTGGAACAGGAAGCACTTCCAACCACATTCCCATCATGTAAAACCAGCAACCTGAAAGATCCTTTCCATTAAAACAAAAAACTTACTATTTGGCTTCTGGCAATGACACCAAGGATAGACAGATCGTACAGCTCTACCCAAGCAGTAAGACTGTTGTGAGCCATTCTTCTCTGATGAAAAGAATGCAGACATTCACGCTCCAATAGTTCAAGTGTCTGAAGCAGTCTCAATATTGTAGGGGCTAACTCATAAACGAACACATATGTATACCCTTCACTATATCTATGTAATTTGTTTACTTTATAAAACTTCTAGGAGATATAAATGATTTTCCTTTTTAAAATTAAATAAATTCAAAGTATAGATTTGGGAACCTTCAAGAAATGTGGAGTAATCTTCTAGAAGTAGAACACTGCGGTTCTACAGAACCATATACTGTTCCTGCATTAGAAGAATGTGTAAAACGTGCTCTCTTGAAAGAGTGAAGGAAAGAGCCACCCGGTAAGGCTTATATGTCCTCTGGCAAACCATTCACAAGCTTAAACCATATAACAAATTTTAACTGAGTCAAATAGTCACTTTAAAAACATATTCATCTGCTACAAAAATTAAAATAAAACAAAGATATTCAAGCTAC